TTTTTTTTTTTTTTTTTTTCAGAACCGGGGATTGAACTCAGGCCCTTGAGCTTGCCAGGCAAGCACTTATTCCACTGAGCTACCTACTTCCTTTTTATCTTTATGTTTTGATCTTCATTTGTATGCTTATATTTTGAGTTTCTCATAGACAAACGAGGGCCAGGGAGATAGCTCAGTAGAATAAGTGCTTGCCTGCAAGCACCAGGTCCTGAGTTCAGATATCTGGTACTGAAAAAAAAAAAAAAAAGACAAATCATGCATTATTTGAACTTGTGTGACTGAGTTCTCTTTTTTAATTTGAGACAGATTCTTACCAATTTGCCAAACTACATCTCCAGGCTAGGCTCAAATTTTTGATTATCCTCCCTTGGTCTCCGAGACCACTGGGATCACAGGCATGTGTCACCATATCCAGCTGGTTTATTCTTTACCCATGAGCATGTTCCAGCCTTACTTTCCCTGTATCAAGTGTACTTTCTGTTTTATAATTAGAAAACTGAGGCTCCAGGCAAGGTGTACACACCTTGACTTGGATGCTTGGTTCCAGTGTATCTGTTCTCAGTGCTCAGTGCACTTCGGTGCCCTGGGCTCTGCCTGCTTTTCCACTTCCTTATTTTATTTTTTTTGGTGGTATCAGGGATTGAACTCAGGGCCTTGTGCTTGCCAGGCAAGCACTTATTCCATTGAGCCATCTCCCTGGCCCCCTAAAAGATGACATTCAAGTTGAGGATTCTTTTTTTTTTGTGCAGTACTAGGGATTGAACTCAGGACCCTGCACTTGCCAGGCAAGCACTTATTCTACTGAGCTATCTTTCTGGCTCCACTTCCTTCTTATTTACCAAGGGATCTGTCTATCTCTTCTCAGTGGATGCTCTGGGGAGGACGGAAGGATGGGGTGGTCAGGTCACAAGGCCCTGGGACCCTGAGGTTTTTTTTTTTTTTTTTTTTTTAATGAGTTTAGGGTGTACTGGATCTCACTACGTAGATCAGACTTGGAGTGATCCTCCTTTTTCAGCCGCCTAAGTGCTAGGATTATAGGTGTGTGCCACCACGCCCAGTCTCAATCTCCATCTCAGTGTGTCCCTGGGGGCAGGCCAGCACAGCACGCTGGGGATTGAACCCTGGCTGTTGCTGCTGCCCTCTGCTGAAGCAAGCACTTTAGTCTCCTGAGCTATCTGGCCAGCCTGACCCTGGCCTTTGGAATTAGCGCTGTTCACAGGGCCTTTTCTTGGGAGTGTGACTGCTCTCTGTGAAGGCTTGGTGGGGTGGGAGGGCCAGGGAACTGAGGCTACTCTGTGTTTCTGCTTACAGACCTTGCGTGTCTCCTTGATCCTCTCTCCCCTGCTGGACACTGGTCCTGGGTAACCCTGGTCTCCCCCATCCCATCCCAGCCAGGCCAACTTCCTTTGGACACATGACCAGGCTCCTGCCTGTCCCATGCAAGGTGGCAGTGGGAAGGCAGGGAGGTGGTGGGGAGCATGTGCACCTGCTGTGCCTCCTCTCTGCCCACTGCCAGGGTGGGGAGTGACAGACCACGACTGAAACAGGTGTTGTGCAACAACGTGTGTGTGTGCACATGTGAGCAGGAGAATGGGTAGTATCAGAGGAAAGCAGCAAGTGGCTGTCTGCGAGGCCTGCAGGTGGGCTAGACCCTGTGGGGAGCAAGGGAGTAGAGGAGGAGCCTGGCACAGGCTGGAGTAGCGGGGCAGGAGTAGTCCCTGGGGTGGGACTGGGCAGATCACAGCAGAGAGCGGTGGGGAGGACCCTACATATGCAGGTCCCTCAGGTTTTGAGAGGGCAGCCCTGGGAAGACTGTGGGAGCCATGCCTATCTTGGCTGTAGTGGAAGCTGCTGGGGTGTAGGGTGCTGTCAACAGCCAGGTGAGTAATGACAGGAGGCAGATACATCTGGATGTATCTGATAACTCACATTTGCTGTGGCTTACGGTTCGGGATAGGAGAGACACCCTCAAATGCCTCACTGCAACACTGAAGACTCAGGGGATAGGAGGGATGAGGGAGGCAGTGGCCCTTGAGGAGGGTGGACCCAGGAGTTCCACAGCCTGGTTTTAATCTGAGGTTTGTTTGAATGTCCAGGTGGACACCACAGAAGCAGAAGTTAGAAGACAGGGCTGACCAGCAGTGTCCATTTGAAAGTGGTTCAGGTGTGCAAGGAATTTTAAACCGCATGGGACTGGAGATTGCCCAGGCACCAGGCTTTGACAGCAGCAGGTTTAATGACTCCAGGAGAGATGGGCAGGAAGCATGAGGGTGGCCAGTGAGGATCTGAGGCCTGTGTCAGTGAGCAGGGGGTACAGGAGGAGGCCTGGGCCTGAGAGGCCACAAGCAGGCTTGGCAGGTAAAGGAGACTGATGGCCAACAGGGATGATTTGTTGGGGACTGAGTCTGGGAAAATCAAAGTCTAGCAAAGCAAGAAACCTTTTCTCCTCCCCAGTTGGGCAGAGGCAGGCCTTCTGGTTTGCTGGGACCTGCCTCAGAGTGCTTATTCTGAGGGGAGAGCCAGCTGCTGTTTGCAGGGGTGTGGGCATATGGAAACTGGAAATGGCTCAGGAGCAACAGATAACACAGACCTCGTCCCTGTCCCCTCTGAGCCTGGGCCCTCACCTTAATGGGCAGAGCTCAGGGTATGTGGTGTCTGGGGCTTTAGCACATCCATAGCGTTCCCTATGGGGCCTCCTTCTCCTTTCTATCACAACATATTTCTTTTTATTTACTTTATATATTGGGCCTAAGATTTTGTGAGAAGATAAGATTTAACTGCTAAAACAACACCAGAGGCCTAGATCAAAAGGTATCTGAGACCCCAATGACTGTTATGGTCTGTGTCCTCTCTTTTATGATGTGCCGCCTTGTCCCAGAGAGGAAGCCTGGGGACAGAAGTGGAAATCCTGGCAGGGGAAAATCTGGAGGCGGCAGAGATGAGAGAAAGAGAGAGGGAGAGCAAGTGAGGGAAGGAGAAAAAGACAGAGGAAGACAGACAGACAGAAAAACAGAGACAGAGATAAAGATAGACAAAACGACAGAGACAGGGAAACAGAGATAAGAGACTGAGAAACAGAGACTGATAGAGAGACAGAAAGAGACAGAGACAGAAGGATGGACAGATACAGAGAAGAGACAGAGATAGAGAGAGAGGCAGAGAGACACGAGACAGAGAAGAGACAGAGACAGAGAAGAGACAGGCAGAGACAGAGAGACACAGAAGAGACTGAGACAGAGGAAGACAAAGACAGACAGAAAGAAGAGACAGCGAGACAGACAGAGGAAGACAGACCAAGCCAGAGAGAGCCAGAGAGTCAGAAGAGACTGAGATGGAGAGACAGAGGAAGACAGACAGACAGACAGACAGACAGACAGACAGACAGACAGACACAGAGAGAGAGAGAGACAGAGAGACAGAGACAGAGACAGGCAGAGACAGAGAGACAGAGAAGAGACTGAGACAGAGGAAGACAGAGACAGACAGAAAGAAGAGACAGCGAGACAGAGGAAGACGGACCAAGCCAGAGAGAGCCAGAGAGTCAGAAGAAACTGAGATGGAGAGACAGAGGAAGACAGATGGACAGAGAGAGAGAGAGAGAGAGAGAGAGAGAGAGAGAGAGAGAGAGAGACTGAGAGAAGGGAAGGGGGTAGAGAAAGAATATACAGAGGAGGTAAATCTCAGTTTTACTTGGTGGGGAGTTGACAAATACTGACTTGAGTTTCTTAAAGTTGTAATGATACCCATCGGAGGAGCTAAAAATAATCTGTAACTAGCAAAACCCTGGAGATGGAAGTGGAAAGTGGTGCAAGAAGGAAGGTGAGCCAAATGCTTCATATCCTACAGTAAGGGGGTCAGAACATATTCTACCTAAAGTTGGAATATCAGTTTTTTCTTGTTACCACCAGGACAAGCAAGTGCAATAACTAATAGCAAAGGGAAAAAGACTGGGAGGGGGAAATTACTCTTTACTTTGTACCCCTGCCTGTTGTTCAGGAACTGTTTTTGAAATGCATTCATTTTATAATCAATGCAGTAGATAAAAATGTTAAGTGAAGAACATGATTTTATGAGCCACTAGGGCCAGCTGGTACTGAGGGGCCCCTCCCAGAGTGGGCAGGGAGGAAGAAAGAGGAGGCTTCTCAGGCTCCGAAGGTCAGTCAGGTGCATGAGACACTCTGGCTTCTGGGGGTCTTGGAGGCCTGGCTCTTGGGCCCCTTCCCACCAGGCTCACCAGGGCGTCAGGCAGTGTGGCCACCACTTGGTACCTGAAGGCTTTAAGCATTTGCTCTGTAGGCGCTCTAAGTATGCAGAAATGGGGACGCTCTAGCCTTACTGGAATCCCTCATCTGTCAGCGCTCATCACCACCAATGAAAACGTCCAACTGTCCATGTGGATTTCTTCATGTCTTCACCATTAATGTTTTAGGCCAAGTATTTCTTTGCTGGTACGTACCTCAGAAGAGAAATGTTTAGCAGTATCTTTGGCCCCTACCCACTAGAGGCCACAAGCACTAGCCAAATGGTGACAGCCAAAAATGCCTCCTGACATTGCTAAATGTCCTTAGGTTAGGAAAAAATGGCTCCAGCTGAGAAGCACTGGTGACAGTGCTGAGTCAGGTGAGGTCAGGGCACATACTGCTCTTAGACAGTGGGTTCAAGCCCAGGAGCTCCTCACTGCAAGCCCCCACTGAAAGCCAGGGAACCAGATTACAAATGTGGGGTTTTTTCCTGGGTAGCAAGATGCAAGCAATCCTAGGGCCTGCATGGCACAAGACATTCCACTGCAGGAGCTTCTTCCCCCCTCTGGAGACACTGATCTATGAGTGGAGAGCAGTAACTGTGAGGATATCCAACAGCCATAGAGCACAGTGGGTAGACCTGAAGAGCCTTGATGCCCTTTCTCTGCCTTTCCCTTCTCTAGTTTTTCTCACCTGCTCTGGCTTTAACCACATCTCTAATTCCTCTACACTTCTCACCACTTCATCCTTCCCAATTTCTCCTCATTTAGTTATTACATAATAATAAGGGCTATGTGATTATGTATTCTATTTATTGAATGTTACTTATGCTTTTTTTTTTTTTTTTTTTTTTTAAACTTTTTGTGATACTGGGGATTGACCCAGGAACTCCACTCCAAATTACATCTCCAGCCCCTTCCCTTTCTTTTTACTTTGAGAAGTCTTGCTAAGTTGCTAAGTTGTCCAGGTTGGGTTTCAGCTTGTGTTCGCCTGCCTCAGGCTCCCCAAGTACTGGAATCACAGGTGTGCATGACTATGTCTGGCACTCATTCCTTATTTTTAAAGTCAGAGCAATGGAAAGCTTAAAGACAGAAGAACTGTTTTGTGGTGCATGTGTACTGTGGAGATTGAACCTAGGCCTTTGCACATGCTACCACTAAAATAGATCTCCAGTTTTAGAAGTTTATTTTCTCCAAAACACAATGGCATTATTTGAGTTATGCTCTGCTTGTTATGGCCCTTGGTTTATAATTATGTGGTCAGGGGCTCTTGAAGAAAATAAATTCTGCTACCTTGAAACCTTCATTCTGGACGCAGGCATAGTCCAGGACAAGTAGGTGACACATCCTGGTCCTTGAAGAGGGGACTTTCCTATTTGGTTGTATCTCTTACCCATTCCTTTCCTTGACCTCTTTATCCTGGGTGCAGGAAGAAATGCCCCATTCTTTTGATGCTTACAATTAGTGACAGGAACGGCCCCTTCACCCCTCCCACCCAGCTCCTCCCACCTGCAGGGGACACTCACTATTTGGCAGAATCGTTGAGCTGATATTCCCGAGACCGGTTGAAGCACTCTTGGATCCCTGAGTCACCCCAGAGTCGCATCATGGCAGAAAGCAGCTCAGCAGAGAAGGGTTCGGTATCTTCCATGCGACTCACCACGTCACACACCATCTTGGCATCGGCCTGCAGGGAGAGAGGGACCCCAGGTTCTGAGGCCTCGTGGGGCTCTACTCAATGGAGACTGTGGCACAATATGCTGGCCAGAGTGCCAGCTTGCTCAGGAGGGGCCCAATCTGAGTTGTGTCCCTGACAGCAGGGACCCCCAAGCCTTCGTTTCCATGTCATCTCTAAAGCAGATTGGCATACAGGGCTCTATTCCCTAGCCTGCTGCTCATAGGGACAGCTCTGCTTTCCTCTGTTTTGAATACTGGGGCTTTGTACCAGTATTTGTTTGGGGAAAGAAAATTAAAAATTAGTGTTCTTGGCTAGTATTACAGTCTCCTACATATTTTACCCAGAGTGAAGCAAATTTCTGATTATTTGAGAATTACAGTTGGCTGAGGGATTTCACCCTAGTGGAGATGATTCAATACTGAATCTAAGGGCTGGGATACAGCTCAGTGGCAAGCAGGAGGTCATGAATTCAATTCCCGGTACCAAAACCCCCTAAATCTCAAGAATTTATAGGTTGGACATGGTATTTCAGGCCTGTAACCCCAGCACTTTGGTAGCTAAGGTACAACGATGGGCTGAGTTCAAGGTAGCCTGAGCTACATAGTGAGTTCAAGGTCAGCCTGAGCTATGTAGCAAGCCCTATTTATAAGAACAAAAAGAAAAAAAAAATTAGGTCCTTAAGCTAAAACTTCACTGTTGATTTTTATGTGTTTGTGACCTGTGGTTACCAGAGAACCCCAGGCCTAACTGGTTAAGCAAAGGCCAGGTAAAGAGACAAATACTGAGACTGGGAGCCTCTTCTGCAGCCTCCTTCCTCTCCTCCTCATCTCAGGGGGTGAAGTTAATTTGCTTAAGGCACACAGGACCAGGCTGAGATTCCCCTGAACATGCAGAGAAAGCACTGTGTGCTTACTATGTAATTTTTGGGGACAACAAATGTGTCACCCATTTTCAGTGACTATAATCAAAGATGTGTAATCTCCAAACCAGGAGTGCAGTGAAAGCTCAGAGACTCTTGGAGGAGTCTCGAGCCAAAAGACAGGACTATCAGCACAGATCACACACGCAGGCGGCATTGACAGTTTGCAGGCGGCATTGACAGTTTATAAAGGACCTTCGTGTGCACACTCCACTTCCTCAGAACCTCACGGGCACCTAAGGAGGAAGCTGGGAGCTGCTGGCCAGGCTGCTTCTTTACCTTCTTGCTCTGTGCCCTTGCCCTGCAGATTTTCTACCCTACGTGGAGTATATTTCCTGTATGGACTTGCTTTGGCCCACAGAATGACACGGAGCTGCAGTGTGCAAGTTCCTGAAGCTCTGCATGCTCGCTGGTCCTCCATGGACCTTTCTGGTTACCCTGAATGCACCCTGGCTCTCATGCTCTCAGGAAGAGGAGCTAGTTTGTGTGCTAGTTTGTGTCACATAGAGTTGAGGTTGCCCTGGATCTCTGATCCTCAGGTGAATGAACTGGCTGCATCGAGGGGAAGCTTGCTCCATGGCATTGGTGTGGCAGTGGCTAATAACACAGTAGTCACTCACATTAGTCATGGGCTTTCTGTGCAAACAGCGGCAATGGATCCAAAGGGGCCACAGAGAAGGTGAGGAAACCCAGGCTCAGGACCAGAATATCTTAATACCTTCTGGCTGCTCTCTGGTAGCTATTCCTAGTGGCTTTACCATGGTTTGTGAGGCACAGGTCTTGGCTATACCAGTGACTCTAGGGATACACCCTCTAAGCTTGTCTCATATGAAAAACGCTACGCTCAAGACATGGCATTGGAGGGACAGATCCAAAGGAAAGTGGTAGGTGTCCAGTACTTCCTGACTCCAGATACCTTTCCTGTCAGGCTGAGCCCGTTGGCCTAGGAGTGGGGTACAACAGGTTCCTATCTCTGACTTTCACAGGCCCTCCTCAGTTAGGGTGTTCTATTCATGGCTGTGGCTATGCTGACCTGGTGGCTATGCTGCAGTGAGTCTTTTCAACCCTACATTTCCAGTAAAGGCAGAAGAAAGAGGTTGCCCATCCCACGGCAAGTAAGTGGGGGTGCTTGAGAGTCTGTGGGTTTCTCCCACCTCTTTTAGACTGGGAGAAACAGGAAACTAGGTCAGTACCTGGAAGGTTTGTGGCCAACAAAAGCTTCTACACAAAAGTAAGTAGGGGCCAAACCTTCTTGGACTTCCAGAACTGAGCTGTCTGGCTAAGTAGCTATTTACATCTATATTTGCAATTTACATTGCAAAGGCTGGTTGGAAAGTTCTCGAAGCTATCCCCTTCCCCACTGCCTGCCCCACCAAGGAAGCAACCACTGGTATGACTACTTAGCTGGAAGGCCAAGCTTGTATCCAAATCTAGTCAACCACAATGGCCCTTGGTCCCAAGCCACCCTTAGGAAACCTGGATGCTCAAAGGCCCCCTGGCAGTAGTGACCTGGAAAGCTGAGATGAAGCTTGGGTAGTAGAGATGACTCAGGGAGGAGTGATGGGTTAGCAGGAGTGGCACCTCCACCATTGGCTAATAACATTTCAATACTTAAAGGCCTGTGAGTCAGGGGCCCAGGCTGCTCCAGCTCCTGGAGCAGGGCTGCCCTCAGGGCTTGGGCTTCCCACCTGTGATGCAAGCCATCAGTTCCCAAACCTCCCTTTCTAGGCCTCACCCTCATGGTTTCTGCAAATCTGTGAAGTGACCCACACAAAGCAGGTCAGGCCTTCAGAGTCAGTAGGGCAGTCTAGGCCTGACATTCTGCCAGGTAAGACATACCCACTCCAATTCAAGTGCTCATGGCACAGCCCATTTCACATCAAGGATCCATGAGGCACTGCAGGTAAACTCTAGGACCTCCACAGAGCTGCCCTGTATCCCCACATTTGTTACTCTATGCATGACATGGAATTTATGGTTTCCATTGTAATGAGATATAACACAGCTTGGAGACAGCCTGGGAGGGGACCCAGGGGGATCCAAGGGTGTAGTCTTCTTCCTAGTTTTTTTCCTTGTCATGGTGTTCTGGAGCAGTGGGGTCCTGTGCTAGCAACTCCTCCCCCTTCTTCCTGTTCCTGCCTTGTCCTCCCTAGTTCAGCATGCCCATGATGATGCCAACACCAGCCCAGGTGCTTAAACCCAGCTGCTCAAGCAATGCCTCCTTCCACACTGCCCTGTTGCCTCTTGTTCCTCTCTAATCTTTGCACCACACAGGAGACTCAGTTTTCTCCTAACATCAACTCTCTTCTTTAGAAAACTAATTCCCCAATATTTTGCTGGTTGTATACAGTGACACTCAACTAACAGACTGTTTCCTTGTTTTGCTTGGTTAGGAGTAACCACATGGCCAGCCAGATAGCTCAGCTGACTAAAGCACCTGCTTAGGTAGGTGCAGGGACTGAGGTTTGATCCTTGGACTGCAGTGCAGTCCCCTGCCCCAGGGTGTGCTGAGATGTTGATTGAGACTGGGAGTGGTGGTACACACCTGTAATCCCAGCTCTTGGAAATCTAAAAACAGGAAGATCACTATGAGTTTGATTTGTGTTGAGACCCTGTAGACCCTGTACTAAATACATTAAAAAAAAGGTAATATAACAACCATTGTTAGCTATTCCTGTTTTGAAAATCTGTAATATATGCATTGCTATATGTTACCCTGTTTCTGACTTTTTTGTATTTGTTTTTGCTTCTGTTTTTATTCTTCACAATAAAATAAAAAATAAAAACAAAAGTAAAAACAATTTAAAAAAGGAATAACCACATGACAAGTTACATGCAATGAAAAAATGCACTAAATTGTGGTGAAATATTTGGAAAAGTAATTTTTTTTTTCCTGTATTTTTTAGGGTGAGGTCTACAGAGTGTTGAGCGTCTTACTACTAGATAGGACACATAGTGATCCACCTATTTACAGCCTCCCAAGTGCTGTGCTGGGATTATAGGCACATACCACCACACCCAGTCTCAATCACCTCAGCATGCCCTGGGGACAGGGCCAGCATGGCAGGTGCAGGGATTGAACCTCTGGCCCCTGCGCCTGTTTGTAGGAGCTTTCATCCACTGAACTATTTGGCTGGCTCCAGAAATGTAATTTTAAAGGGAAAAGCCACTGTTTTCTCTCACTTCCTCCTTCCTACTGCCCAGAACTGGGATGTAATGGCTGGAGCTGTAACAGCCAATTTGGATCAGACGAGTTCTTCACCCAGGGGATAGGGGAGCAGTGACCTAAACCAGCCCAGGTCCTGTGGAAATTCCACACTATCTGAAGTCATTAAGTGTTGTTTTAACACTTAAGATGAATTTCTGTCTTACTTAATCTACTATTTTTAGGGTCTCTAGCATTCACAGTCAAACTTAATCTCTCCCCTTAAGCTCTTCGAATAGTTTCCCATCATTTCTAAATTCCAAACTCTTTACTGTGGACTATAAAATCCCACCTCTCTGTCCTCTGTACCCACTGCTCCCCTTCTCTCTGTTCCTCACACAAGCTGGTAGCCCGGGCATTCCATCTGTGCAGGCCTGTCCCCTATCCTGTCCCTGCTTCCCTCAGCAGTGCACAGGCTATCCCACCTTAGCACTGGTGCTGCGTGCTCCTGTCCCTCTGGGCAGGCTGGTTTCCCGATTTCTCAGGCCTCACACAGTCCTCTGTAGAGAGCTAGTGCTTAGCAAGACTAGGACAAAGGACATCTGGTATTATTATTATTATTATTATTATTATTATTATTATTATTATTATTATTATTATTTTATGAGCAGAATATATTTATTGAAGGAAAGAAAGCTTCTGTCCAAGAGTGGGACAAGAGCCCACCCCCCAGCGGGTGGTCCCCAGGAAGTTGATTCTTCCAGGGACTTTTACAGAGAAAAACCATGACGTGAGGTGGGTCTAAGGTGGTGGAGAAGACATGGGAATTTGCTTAGTTGGGCATGAAGTAGGACAAAACTATGGTCAACCAATGAGATTATAAGCCAATGAGATTACAAGCACCACTGCTCAGGTAAAATTGATTAAATCCAGGACCAAATGGGG